GAACCCGACGGCGTTCGGCCCCCGCCAAGAATTATTTCGGTGCCTAATTTTATTTTATTTTTTTTCTGAATTTTTTTCTGAGTTCTCTATGCCGTGAGGTACATGCCTATAAATTTTCAAGTCAGCCAAATAAGAATTAAAAATCGCCAAAGATGGCGGTGTCAAAACGTGCTCGCCCACGTTTTTTTTACTTCTTACTTTCTGTTTTCACTTTAGTTCGGGGTCTAAACAATTTTATTATTTTTTGAAACTTTTTGAGTGGGTTTTGCATTATGTGAAGTACACATCTGCAAATTTTCAGGGCATTTCGATATGCCAAATCGTGCACTCACTATTTTTTTTTTATTAGTATTTGTTTTTCGTATTTTATTTTTATTTCAAATCTGGTAAGGAATTTGGATGTAATGCTCAGGCAAATCTTGTTTAATTTATTTTTCTTCATAACATATCTTCATATACATAAAACCAAGTTGTGAAATCACACAGCTGAGCAAGTAGTAGTATCCCAAGTAGAGAGTACAAATGCACCGAGAAAACCATCCATAAAGAGCAATGCAATGGAGTATCGAGCCAATGTCCAAGCCCATAGGCCACACCAACACAGTATCCAGAGTCGCTCCCTCTGTCTGGCGCACAGCGCCCAGCCAACTCTACCATACTATCCTACTCTACAGCTGGTTCACACAACAGGATCACTTCGGCTCACGAAGACCAATGTACATGACTGTCAACACCATCGGCGACCTCTCTTCATGTACCAGGTACGTAACTCGTCACCCTCAATCAGACCTTGATTATCCCACACAGCGCCTCACTCCCTGAAGACCACCCGATCATCCGCTGTACCCCCTGGCGCCTAGCAGCCCGGCTATGGCCGCCTGCGCCCCGCTGCCCTGCAGCACCCCTCACACCACCTAGCGCTCCGTCAGCACCCCTGGCATTAGCGCAGCATCAAGCAGAAGCGCAGCAGCACTTCCGCATTGCCAGCGCTGGCCAGCATGCCTGGCCTGGGATGCCTCACTTCCTTTATGGAAGTGGCAGCCTGCTCGATGCTGCGTGTGGCCTGGCTGGAAGCTTCCAGTAGCTTCCGGTTGGGCCTCAGACCCTGTGCCCAGGCCGAGACTTACAGTTCAGGGCCTGGGCCATTTACAGTTGGGCACGCCCTGAGTCTCCGGACTTGGGCTGTTAGCTGCATCTGCGCAGGGCCCCCAGGTAGATGTGTCGGCTGTACTGCTTTTCCAAAAGCCGACGGCCTACTTCTCAATGTATCGGCCCTGCTTTGTGTGCAGGTGCCCAGGCACAACTTTTGTGGCCTGGGCCAACTGTACGATGCAGCTTAGTGAGGCTCGCGCGTTCACTCAACCAACTGACGCGCTGCAAGAGCCTGAATACCCACATATGGAAATGTCGAATTTTGGCCTGTGACAAATATTCAGGCCCGCCTTCACTTAGGGCAGGCACTTGGCTTGCAGGGGCCTTAGCCCAGAACATGCGATGTCTGATAGGGCCCCTTGAGGGCTTGTTCCTCACAACTCCTTGTTCGGCCCGAACGACCGAACGCATACGTTCGGGCGCTCGGCCCGTCCCGAACGCCGGTTACCCTGATCATAATACTAAAAGTCTATATATCATAAACAGGGGAGATTGTTTTTTTCCCCCAAAAAAGGTTCAGGTTGTTGTTAAGGCTGGAAGCCACCCAACGGCCTAACGAACGAGGCCACCTCCGGCAGCAGCTGAAACTGGTAGGGACCGCCAGACGCCGATGCCCTACAGTTTTCACTCTTTCTGGAGCAAGGGTATAGGCGTAAGCCATAGCTCTGCTGTAGCTAGCTCGTTGCACTTCTGTCTTCCATTTTTTTGGAGTTATGTATCGGGATTGCTTTTCACACATTGTTCGCCATGCAACGGTGCGGTTGTGCGAGCGTACGAAGACTTTTTGTCCTCCCTTTTTTGCGAGTTATCGATCGGGGCCCGTCTGGCCCGTGTCTCCTTTTCACATCTAATGACCCGTCAGGAACAGTCAGAATACTCAACCAGAGTCTATCTTTTTTTTTTTTTGAAAAAAAGTCCTGATCGTAGTAGAGGTTGGAGGTTAGGCCTCGGGTCTACTTCTGTTTTTTTTTTTTTTTTTAACGACTCGGCCAGAGTCAATCTTATCTCAATCCAGATGACCCCTGACTCACCCTGTCACCATTGAGCCCAGCAGATAGATACGCTTGCAGACCTTGGCTGTAAAGGTGATCAGAGGGGTGGCGATTTTTTATTTTATTTTTTCGAAATGGAAGAGGTCAGGGGTTTTCACAGGATCACCAGGGGTGGTTAATTTACTGGGGGGAGGGATAGAGGAAAAGCAGGGGAGAATAGGAGGAGAGCCCTGATGACTTTTTTCCCATCTCTTTAGGCCCGTCTCCGAAGCGGGACTGCAATCTGCTGACCAGACAGATGTGGACACAGATGCACGGCCGGACGAGATTGGCTTGCTGCTGGTACGGTCTGGTCTGCGCACAGCTGTAATATTTTCCTTCCGATTTGCTTAAGAAAAAAAGAAAAAAAACCCTGCTCCCCACCACTAGAAAGGAGCTGTCCACCTGTTACATCTTCGATGCCACACGGGTCCTACCGGACCCGACTTAGGGCCGGAGGAACACACCAGGGCCTAAAGGCCCGACCTTGAGGGTCACAGGCCCTAAAGGCCTGATTTTGCACTCAGCCCAGTGGGTAGGCCCAAACGACAGTTTGTTTGGGCCTGGCGGCGCTCTTAAGGCTGCCACCCGCTGATGGAGGCTGAACCGTCCATCTGGACGGTCCAGGG